CCCCAAAACCCCAAAACCCCAAAACCCCAAAACCCCATTGAGAAAATCATGACGATATTTGAGTAACAAGAATAGTCAGATAAATATATATCTTTATATAATCATAAAAATCTATAAAAATGATAAGCCCTGAATTTAGAACAACAGAAGCAATAGACTAGCTATCTGCCTATAAATAGCTCATTATTTCCAATCATGGTAAAAATAACCATATACCCCCGATTCTGACTAAATATTATTAGGGGAATCACTTTGGCAAGATTTAGAACCAGAATTCAATAGACTTGAGAATAATCGTAAAGAAATGGTCAATGCATTTTAATTTAGAACAGATGCCAACCAGCTTAGAAAATACAAAGAATTATTCCTAGAGTATAAATACTACATTTGATGATTTATTTTTATAGGAATTACAGAGTTCAAATCTAACTTGGAAAATTCTTCGCTTTTGGCACTGATAGAGTAAGTCCCATTTTTTGTACTGATTTAATCACAGAATTCATAAATTTGATTAAATAACCTTATGATTAATTTAGACCCAAGTGAATTTGACATTCAACTGGCAAGATTCATTTACTAGATAAAAGATTAAGTCTAATTAACCATTGATCGATGCTATTTCATCCTTATATAACTATGGAGTTGCTTGCGCTAGAATTGTAAGATTGATTCTATTTGTTTAATTAATAAAGGCTTGCTATATGGATTTGTCAGGGGATGGAATAAAAGAGGCAATGAAATAATTTTAACAAGCTGGATGGGTCTTTGAACATTGCAGAACTCTAGTATCTAATCTAGGCCCCAATGAAACTTCCCCAGATTTTGCCTCCGAAACACTTGGCATGCTAGCTAATTTAATGCTTGCTCAAGCATAGTATCTATTCTACAAAAAAGCTACAGATTCATAAATGAAACCCTAGATTTAAGCTAAAATTGCAATGCAAGTAGGAGATTACTTCAAAAAGTCATATGAAATCGGAGCTACAAACGCTTCAGTGAAAAACTATGACAAGGGTGTATTCCTAAAGATACAATCATACTATTCCATCTACTTCTTGGGAATAAGTTATCTAATTATTGGTAAGGAAGGATATAAACAAGTTGCTGATGCAGGTTAAGGCATAGGTAAAGCGATTTCTGATTTAAACGCTGCAATCTCTACATTCGAAGGTGTTAAGTCAATCATCTCTAGTCTTCCTTAATCATATCAAGACAACTTTAATAGCAAGCTCTCTGAAGCAATAAAACTCAGAGAACAAGCGAATAATGACAATAAAACAATCTATTTTGAAAAGGAGATTCCTCTAGACAAGCTACCAAGGCCAGATAGTCAAAATCTTGTTAAGTATGAGCCACCTTCAGAGGACATTGATTTGAAAATTTCGCTTTAAGATAAACTTAGATTCATAGTTCCACCTTAAATCAGAGTCTACTAAGAAGAGCTGAGACAATAGATCTCTGAGATCCTCAATCATGAATACGAACTGGACAACAATAATGAATAAACTCAAAAGTTCTTTATGGATCAGCATCATCTCCCATAAGCTCTTTACTCAGTCAGTGCTCCAAATGAAATTCCTGATTAAATTTGGGATAAAGTTGAGGAGTTTTAAAAGCGTGGAGGGATATAAACTGTTATGGACTAATTAGAGGGTATTAAGGCTTTGAAGCAGAACAATATTAAACTCTTAGATGACATGAAGGTAATCCTAGATGAAGAAGAGGGAACTGATTTCAAACTTAGACAACAATATGGAGAAAAGTGGATTAGAACAGAGTCTGTAAAGATTAATGGACATATGAAATTCTAAGTCAATGAGTTCAAGAATAAAGCTGAGATAGCTGACAAGACAGATGAAAAAATTGAAACAAAATTCAAAGCACAGATTGCAGATTTGGACATACTAAAGTTCTCCAGACAATAATTATCTCAGCAGATACCAGGAGGAAGTAATTAAGATTAGATCTAACAAAGTCATGGCTATTAAAGGTATATATCATTGCAATAATATTTTTACCATATAGCCTTCAACTTAATCTTTAAGAGCTAGATAAACTCAAAGAAAGAAAGCAGAAAATATTCGAGGAAGCAATACAGAAATCCCAAAATTTGAATGTTATAGATGATATGACTCAGGTTCACTAAGGCCTTCAGGAAAAAGGCACTGTCTTTGAAAAGTATAAGCAGGAATTCAGACAAATTTTCTCTCAATTGGAAACGATTGAGAAGCAAAGAATGGAATTAAATCAGTAGATTGAAGTCAATATGCATGAATTTAACCAAATAAAAGCTCAAGGTAGTGGCTAGAACAGTGAGACTCAAGATTTCTATAGAAAGCTAGATGGTTCCCTGCAATATGTTAATGAGTTGAATGGCATGCTGGCATAAGCAAATAATTTCCATTCCTAACTATGTGAACATCTTAACAAAATTTATCAAGAGTAATTCATTTAATTTCTTATTAATCATAACTTTAGTGTGATGGACTTTAAAATGTCTAGGGACCTTGAGAAAAATGACATGGTCTAGTAAATAAATAGTTCTTAAGTTATGGGTATGGGTGGGCCTGCTATCTAATAAAATCTAAATCAACCTCCAGTTTAGCAATAGATTTAATAGCAACCACCAATGATGTAATAGCAGTAACCAAACCAGCAGTAGCAAATTCAATAGTAACATCAGCCTCTACAACAATAGCAGTAACTTTAACCTTAGTAGCATCAGCAAATGGGCAATCCTTAAAATTAACACTAACCCTAGTAATAATAAATGAATCAGTAGCTTCCTCCTCCAATGAATTAAATGCCAAACTAGAATTTTATGCAATAATAGCAGCATTAGCCTTTAAACAACTCTTAAATCTAGCCCTAGCAACAGCAATAACACCAATTTGGAATGAATCAGTAATTGCCTCCACAAGGTCAATAAAACTAGTTCAACCCTCCACAAGGGTATAACTAACCTCCACAAGGATTTAATCAGCCACCACCATAATAATTCTATCAGCAGCCTCCAGGATTCATGCCACCACAAGGCTATATGCCACAAAATCAAGGCATGCCTCCTCCTTATTATATGCCACCTCAAGGACACGCTCCTCCAGGGTACAGACCACCACTTGGACAGCAACCTCCTCCAGGCTATTTCCCACCACCTCAAGGAATGTATCAATAGCCTATGTATCAACCTATTCCTGGCTAATTCATGCCCCAGCCAGGATAATTCATGCCTCCAGGTCAGTTCCCGCCTCCCTAAGGTGGATTCCCACCTGGCTATCCTCCTCAATAATAGCCATGTAATACATTCTATCTTTAAATATTAATCTTGTATAGACGGATATCAACCTTACAAGTCTTGAGATCAGCATTGAACAGAATGCAGTCTTATTATCAGAAATAAATCTCTATATTTCTTAAATCATCACATATAGATATATCTATTCATTCGGGGTTTTGGGGTTTTGGGGTTTTGGGG